TATTTTTTTGTTTATAAAACGTATTTTCAGAATACGTTTATATATGAATCAATTTAGGGCAAAATTGAATTGGGGCAAAATTGAATTTGGGGGAAAAATTGTACAAAAAACGTATTTCGGAAATACGTTTTATGTTTTATATTATTTTGTCCATCAAAATTGTATTTTCAAAATTCTAAAAATTCATTTCATTTAAAATACGTATTGTGAAAATACGTTTTATAACTCGAAAATAATTATAAAATTAATTTTAATTATAACACGTATTTCGAAAATACGTATTAATTTTTTATAAAGAAAAACGTATTTACGGTATACGTTTTAAATCAAGGTAATTATCTTAATTAATCATATTAACTGAAACCGTATTTCAGGAATACGGTTTATTTTTAAAACGTATTTTTAGAATACGTTTTATAACTAAAAACGTATTTTCAGAATACGTCCTTTTGATTTTTTTCTACTCCCTTTTTTTTTTTTAATTTTTGTCCAATTATTTTTGTTTATTTTTAAATAAATAAATAATTCCCAAATAAAGTGGTCTTTTCTGAATAATCTCGCAACTCAGGACCAAGAAAATAGAGAGAAGGGGGTATTTTATTTTTCGATTGGGATAATTCAATCAAATATGAACAAGAATGTCTCCGAATCGGAGCCATCGACAAGCCGAAAGCGCCCAAGAGATCAAGAATCAGTAGAACTCGAATCAGAAAATGATGTCGACAATCCAAAGGCACTCTCCGGAGGTAAAAACTTGACCTTTTTGATGAATAAACTCAAATTTTGTATTGTATATTTGTATTGTTTATGCTTATGGTGGGTATATAGAGATGATCATTAAGTGATGCTTCCATGGCTCTATGAATGATGCAAATCTCATTTCCCGAAATGGGTTCCTTTTTTTTTGTTTTTTTTACTTATCTTATATGTCATATTTTGAAAAAGTTGGCATCTTGTGCTACTAACTGCAAGCTCACTTTACTTTTGGGTGGGTATTGAACAGAGGAGAATTATACTTTCAGTGACACTCTCATGGCTCTTCGTATGATGCATGCCCAGTTCCCCCAAATTGCCAAAGTATGTAAAATTCATTCCTTCTTTAAGAATTGTTTCTGAAATATGTAATCTTGTGACCGTATGCGTGAATTTTCGTTGATCTTTGAAAATTGAATTTATTTCTTAGTAATTTGGTTGAACTAAAGGGTCTGTAGTGATAATTTGATTTCTTGATAATGTGATGGGAGTTATCTTTGTTTCATGAAGTCCTTACAGAGTTTGATCTATGTAAGATTTTTGAAGTTCTGACTTCTGTAATGAAATTTATAGGTCTTACGGCAGCTAGTAATTTCTTTTTTTCATGTCAGACAACTCATTAAATGGAGGGATTTGCTGATAGGGATCCTTCTTGTAGTTATTTTAATCTGGATGAATCATTGAGGTGATGTTAATATAGTGAAGGACAACACAGTAGCCCTCTTTAAAATTTTCCTTCATTAATTTTTTTTTTTTCGACTTGCGGTTTGGGTACGATGTTGTGAGAAGAAAGAAGAAAGGGGAACTTCGGATTACAATTAGCTCGCATCCTAGTGGTCATATGTCGAAACGATTCTTCTCATGGATTGGGTTTAATCTAGATCAAGAATATTGTTTTTTCATATTTATCTTTCGATGTAGTAAAATAATGAACCTTTGCTTGCTGCTTGTATGCTTGATCATCATTTTTCTTTTTCTTTTGTATATATATTGATCCATTGTGAACTTAGTCTTCTCGGTCCAGTGATTTCGGTATATTAAGTTTTTAAGGATTTTTATTGCTGTTTGTTGCTGTCACGACGAATCGTATTTTCTCTCAGGAATAAAAATATGCTTCTGTATTTATATTCAGTCGGCTCTTTGAAGTTTTGGAGTACCATGTGCCTTCAGGTTTCAATTCAACCTTTTATCCTGCGGTCACAGTTGTATAGCAGTATAAAGGATAGGACACAAGTTGATAGGGAATTAGAGGTGAGCCTTTTTTTTTTCTTTGAAAAGAAATCACAGTTTATTTTTTTCCACTGAAGGGAGCTTCTAGGTAATTATATTTAGTGTGTTCCTATGAATTGTGTGAGTACAATTCTCATTTTCATGTACTTTTACTATGGTTCCCTGATAACTGTGGGATCTTTCTTTTTTTCATTACGAGTATGGTGATAGATTAGACACCCTTTATTTTTTCTCCTTCTCCCCATTTCTTATTTATTTATTTATTTTTTTTACTTTTTTTTTTGTTGTGTTATTAATGTTTGGGCATAAGAATGTGTATTATTAATCAGCATATACTTACTTTTAATGTTCTGCAGTCTTTCCGAAGGGACAAAGTGTTGCGAATATTTAAGTTAAATACTGGACAGGACGATCATGCCATAATGTTTTTGGATGACTACATAAAACAGGTCAGTTTTGATATATATAAATATACACACACACACTCACACACATTAAACGATCCAATAGTTTATGCTGTTTGTTTAAATTTTCAGATTGACTATGTCACGAGAAGGATGGAAGAAAAAAATAAAAACGACGGCACAGTTTTTGATTGGTTTAAAACACATGTCATACAACTGAAGCTGGATACCAGCATTAGTCATCAAGAGCTTGTTAGTGAATTTTGCCTCTTATTTTATATCTTTGCTTAAAATTCCTTCTTCATATAGAAGTAAATCTCTTGTTAAAAGAACATGTACGATTCAAGAGATTTGCATGTATAGCTGATTCCTGTACGCTGTTGTTCTTGCAGTGTCAACTACTTTCGTTAGGAGGAACAGTGGAAGAAGAACACATCTCTAAATTAATTAGCGCGGGCCTTATTGTGAGTATCACTTTAGCTATTTTCTTTTTTCTTTCATTTTTCTAGGGAAATTATTTTCCTAAATTCGTTCCACTTCTTCGTTAAAGACCCGCCTATTTCTCACAACAGAATGGAAAGCAAGTCAATCACAGATTTAACTTCAAAATCATAGTTTAAAAATTACTAGCTATTAATCACATGAAATTCATTGACCAGGCTGCCCTTCGACTTAGGCTCTGAAATTTTACAAAAAATTACATCTTCCAGTAATAAGTAAAACCATAAATTTTCAGCTTTAAACTCAAAGCAAATTAATTTATAAAATTCTTACAAGAAATCAGCAAAAACGCACATGAATTCATATCTGAACCTAATGAATGAATCAGTTTCTTTGTTTATATTCGAATTACGGTCGTGCAATTCTCTTCAAGATACGACAACTCATCGACCCAGATATGTATTGGTTCTCAATCCCAAACATTGGTTCGGTGCTCAAAGGTCTATCACAGGTAATAACCAGCTATAGCTTTAATCATTCAAGTCAAGATTCATGTGGATTATATTTTCTCGAGCATCAATTTTGAAATTATGTAGTTCTCATTCAAGTCCAACGTATAAGGCAATTTATATTCGTTTTTATTGCAGTTTCACTTCAGTAATATCCTTGACCACTGCTTTTGAAATTTTGATGATTTTTCGTGTTAGGGAAGAAAAGAGCTTTTGTCTATTCTTAACCGAAGGAAGTACAAAGAGATGATATTGGCTTCTTTAGAGAAAAAGCGCTTGCGATTATCTCCACTCGATATGAGATTTCACCTGAGGGATTTGATTGGCTCGGGCCGCCTCAAAACTATTCAGTCACCGAGTGGTTTGATTGTTCGCATCGCAAAAGATTGAGTTACGGTTAAAATGCTTAGTTTTTGGGTACATTTGAGCAGAAATGAACAAAAAACAAAGGTACCGATTTTCTTGAATTGCTTCAGTAAAGTACAAAAAGAAGAGAGGAAAAAAGATTTTTACTTTTCCGAACTGTTTGTAGGCTCCTTACATTGATTGTAGCAGCTGTGAAATTTTGGTTCTTGATGAGTTTGGTGCTTTGAGATAGTTTGTTTCTAATTATGGTTACAAACAATAAATCATATTTTTCTACAGAGCCTGTGAAATTTTGGTTCTTGATTAAATAAATACTAGTATAACACCCATGTATTACATGGGTGGAGACGGTGTCTCATCTCATCATAAAAATGGGATGGGTATGCGGACAAGTCAAATTTAAGATCGTTCCGGACCACACTCACCCCTACCATAAATAATCAACATATTTATAGATAATTCAAACCTATCCAAGCCTAATAACGAAGCATGTAATTTTGCCACATAGGATCCCGAAGCATGCGAGCCTGCCACATAGGCTCAACACGTTCTCAATTAATATATAAGGGGGATTACTTTCCCTATATATCATTGCAGATTAATTAAGTAATTCATGTTCAACAGGAATTGCTCTGGTGTGTATTTGTGTATCATAGATTTCTTGACATTAGATAGCAATAATACAATATGATGGATTCTTGAAAAGTTTATAATTATTGGGATAAAAATTGCAATGTGTGTATGAATATAATGAACTCTTATATTTAGGTATCAATTAGAGATTGACAACAAATAAATGCTGAATATGATGAGAACGATATGTGATGGGGCCATGAATTATATAGTGTCCCTATTTTCAGGCCATGACTTAAGGAAGTGAATAATCTGAATAGACATATTTTGAAAACGAGGAGCACCAAAATTATTGAAATCACAATTAAATAAAATAAGAGTATCAAACCGTCACTCGTGCACCAATATATTCATCACATATGCCTAAAGTATACCTCATCAATAAATTATGAACTATTAAACGAATTGATCTAATTGTTAAACGAGTGAACCTGCAGTGTGTATATGTGTGTATATATACATATATAGTTGTGTTCTGGTGAGAATGGTGCCCAGTGAAAGAAATAAGAATATATTGTAGCTATCAAATCTGATGATCCAACAGTAGAAAAAAAAAGGCCAAAATTTCTACATTCATTAAGGATATTATTGACATTTTCTCACATTAGTGGCCCATCCTCACCAACCGATCCAATCCCACTAGCTATCACGCGCGCACACATGCGTCCGATCCCCCATCTGTCACACACACAGAGAGAGAGAGAGAGAGAGAGAGAGAGAGAGAGAGAGAGAGAGAGAGAGAGAGAGAGAGAGAGAGAGAGAGAGAGAGAGATGTCGGCCCGCAACAACCACAACCGTGGTCGCTACCGCCTTCTTCCGTCGCCGACACAACCCTCTTCTGCTGCTGCCGCCCACCTCTTAGTCGTCGCCGACACAACCCACCGAACATTGTTTTTTCTTCACGAACCGGAATTGAGCCAATCACCTCAACCTCTTCGGTCCATAACTCGCCGTCCACCTCCACCCCTCCACTAGTGACTGATTTAATAATTTGCCGCCTCTGTAAGCCTCCTTGTACAGAGCCCTCCATTGCCAGAGTAAATCTCTAAAAATCGTTGCCAGTGCCGGAAAAAATATTTCAAAAATCGAAACAAACATTGACGATAACCATCACCAGCGAGGCCTTGGAGGGCAGAGAACGATTGGGGTTCACCGACGACAGGGATAGGGCTGATGTCGCGGGGCGGGCAAGATCCGAGTTTGGGATATACGGTTTATTTTTGGAAATTTGATAATCTCTACGGACCTATTTGCAATTTCAAGAATTTTAGTTATATTTCAATTCAGTCCTAATTTATAAAAATATTATTTTTTATTTATTTTATTACACATATACATTAAAACAATAAACAAAAATATAATATTAATATAAAATAAACAAATATTATTGAACAAGATGCACATTAGTGACTGTCAAACTGTACGACAGTGTTAGACCGAAAGCACATTAATGCATTCGATAAAGCACATTAGCATATCAGTATGCATTTACACAAATACAAAAAAAATTGGTTATTTCAGTCCGATTTCGGATTTATTTAACAAAAAAAATAAAATAATAATAACATATATAACCGACCAAACTATATAAAAAATATTACTTTTTATATCATATCTATACATATATATTATTTATACTCAATAATAATGTTGATTGGAATACACATTATAAAAGTTTTATAAAATTCAATGCACATAAAAAATATCCGCTCAATAGACTGAACAATAATATGGACAAATTGCACATTAATGTCCGTAGGAGTAGAAATTATCGATTTATGTATTATATGTCTTTTAAACCACAAATAAGATAAGATATTAAATAAATATTAAAATACTAAATATATTTTTATAATACACGTAATAAATTATTTCAGTTAGTTAAGCTAATTCGATTAACCAATCGAATAAACTAATTATTTCGGTTTGATTTTAGTCTGATTTGAGACAAATCGTTAAAAATGTCTGCGCTGTGAGTGTACAAGTGTTAGTTTAATTGCACATTGATGACTATACGATTGCACAAAGGTGATCAAAACCGAAGGAACTAAAATTTTAATTTGAAAATTTTATATTTCAAACGATTATCTATGTTTACTTTTAAAAATATGTCATTATAATACAATTAATAATTTATTTTGGTTATTTGATTAATTCGTTAACTTACATATTAAATCGATTATGTTGATTCGATTTTAGTTTGGCTTAGGACAAAAGTTCGATCGGTTCGGTTTCTGAAATTTGACACGACTATTTTAGTTTTGACATTTCGATCAGTTTTTTTGACCGAATCAACCGATGAACAACCTAAATGAGGCGGCCTTTTCATAAAGTTTTGAACTTTTAAACGTGTAGGCGTTGGCAATTCTATGATTTTGTGAAAATATGGCGGTATGTTTAATGTGGAACAAATGTTCTCACACAATATTGTGCAATTTATATATCATTATTGTGCATGTATTAAACTTTTATGAAAATTACCGATTGCCTCGCAAAGTAAATTGGAATACTTAAAATTTAAAAAATTGCAACGAGATCCCTACAACATATAATTTTTTTTAAAAGTCCCACAATCTCATACAACTCTTTAGGCCCAAAAAATTCAGCTGTCGGCCACATCCACCCGCCCCTCCGTCCCTGTCACCTATGCCACGGTCATCGCTGCCGCCATCCTTGCCTACCAAGCACTACCCCTGACTATTCTTTATCTACCCCAAAAAAGAAAGAAAAAAAATCGGACAATTCAGCCACTTGCTTAACGCTAACGACGAGCTCGAGTTGGCTCGCTGTGGCTGTGACGGGACCATTCGCGTCGGGCAGCACACATTGCATGTGTGTGTTATGTGGTTGATCTGGATGGAGAAACGACGGTTGGTGGCAGCGACGATGGAAAGTGGATGAGGAGCTGGTGGCGGTGGGCTGCGGTAGGCGGAAGAGGAATGTTGATGGCGGTAATAGCGGCCATCGGTGGCCGACGGTGGTCATGGTGGCCGATACTTGGTGTGTGTGTGTGTGTGGAATGTCTAAGCGTGAGTTGTGATATTTGAGTGTGTGTTTTAGTGTGTGAGAGAGATGAGGTGGGTTAGGGTGGAGTCCACTAGATGAACTGTAATTGTCGTGATGACCATTATACCCTTAATTTGTGGTCAATTGCTCATATTTGACCATGATATGTTCAAGTATTTACCATAATGCCATCACATGTTTGACTATCGTTATCAAAGTTTGACTTAATCATGACCATTAACATGATGGATCAAATGGTACATATTTATTATTATTATTATATCTTTCACAAAATAAATTATATACTATTATACAAATTGGTCTGATTGTTAAATGGGCCGACCTTCAATATAGAGAGAGAGAGAGAGAGAGAGGATACATGGTAGATAATGAAAGAAATAAGAAAAAATATGTACCATTGGAACCAACATATCAATGGTCATAATCACGTCAAATTTTATTATTGTCAGTCAAACAGTTGTGGAAATCTTGTAATTAAGTCATATTGTGGCCAAATATATTTAGTTGACCACTTATTAAGGTTATTTTGATCATTAACAACAAATTCCAATCACCTAGCGGACCTCACCCCAACCACTAACCCTAATATCACTCTCTCTCACACATTCACACACAAAACTATAAAGAATATTTTTTTTTTATAAATTATAGTTTTGACCCAAGTACCAAATTAAAATAAATTTAAAATTCTTAAAATTGTAAATAAGTCCTTAAAAATCATTAAAATTTAAATAAAATACCCAAAAACCCATTTTTGATTTCCACTTATTTTTCGGTAAGTTGGCCTTCATGAAGGAGGCTTCTCTCAAAGATGCACATGGTGACACCACGGAGATTGTGGTCCGTTTGGTAGTTGGTCGAGGTGGAGGGGAGGTTGAGGTCGGCGGTGGATGAGGCGGACGAAGGGGAGGAAAAAAAAAGAGGAGAGAATAATGAGATGAGGAGGCGGCGTTCTGTGGAGGCTGGGCAGCGACGAAAGGCATCTTAGCAAGGATCCGAGTTGCGTTGGAAGAAGACCATTGGCGTGATGGGTGACGACGAGTGGTTGTGCGTGGCGCTGGGTGGTGGCGCTGAGTCGTCGACCAAAGTGTGCTGGTGCGTGTGTGTGTGTGTACTGTGTGTGTGGGAGAGTTGTGTATGTGTGTGTGAGTGTGTGTGTGTCTTGTGTTTGTGCAGAGTGTGTATGTGAATTAGTGTGTGTCCAGTGGTTGCGCGCGTGCTTGAAAAAGAGAGAGAATGTGTGGATGGTGGGGTCCACGTGACATGTGTAATAGATAAAATGATTATCATACCATCAAGGAATGTAAATGTGTGGCTTTTTTCTGGCCGTTAGATGGTCAAATTTATGACTAAGATGTATTCTTATTTCTTTCACTAAGCACCATTCTCACCGAAGCGCATCCACACAGACACGCCACACAAACACACACACACAAACACAGATATATATATATATATATATATACTAGTACGATACCCGTGTACTACACGAGTACTTGAGAAAAGTGATACTTTTATAAGAATAAGGAATAAAATAATTATACTCTTATTGTTAAATTATAAACAAGAAAGAACTAAAAGAATTGATATTATTTAACATGAAACTTGTATTCTACACTTATTTTGTTAAAAATAATAATTA